CTAAACAGCCCCAGCTCCCTCAGCTGCTCCTCACAGAACTTGTGCTCCAGACCTTTCACCAGCTTTGTTGCTCTTAATATAGCATTAAATCATACAACAACACAGAGAATAGAAATATATACATATTTTCCTAATGAAATGTGCTATAAAAATTCTATTTTTTTGGTGCATTTGTGCAGTGCCAATATGATAAGCTGTATTTATTCTGAACTGTGTGCCAGATACTCTGGCTGTGGGAGCTATATAGGGAAATTTTCTTACAGGTAAAAACTCAGGTTAGGAATTGCAGGCAGATGTAAAAATAAGTGAAAGAAATCTGAGAAGTACAAAGTGCTCATTTAGGAGCAATTTTGTAAGGACAGAGAATCATATAGTTTGGGTTGCATTTGTTGGGGATTTTTTTCTGCTTTTATTCTTGGGGAAGCTGAGAAGTCATAGCTAAGGATTCCAATGCTTTTCAATATTAATGCATTTATGTAATCAGAAATGTGTCAGATTTAACTTTTTCTTCATGTTCTCTCTGAAGGTGTTGGTGAAAATTTGACAGATCCCTCTGTGATAAAAGCTGGAGAAAAAAGGTAAGGTTAAAGAAAGACTTAAAGTATTATAAAATTTTCACTAGACAGACAACACATGCAACTAATGTTTATGATCACTTTATTTCGAAGGTCTCATGATATGGTGTTTGGTCCAGCCAATTTGGGAGAGGATGCAATAAAAAACTTCAGAGCAAAGCACCACTGCAATTCCTGCTGCAGGAAACTCAAACTTCCTGGTAAGAGCTGCTGTATTTCTTCTTCTGAGACACTTATGTCATGAGATGTTGTATGGTACATAATGAAATAGTTAAGTCATGCTGTGGAGGTGGAATAAGTAATAAACAGTGGTTTTGTAATTTGACTTTGGGTTTCTGATTACATGAATGATAAAAGCATCCCTTTTTTGACGCTATATATCTAGGAATTCTTCTTTACCTTTGCATACCCAATTCTTTGCTACACTTTTATGCCCCACTGATTCTACTAGCTCAAGAAATAGTAATCATTATGACTTCATTCTGTTTGTACAGATCTGAAGAGGAACGATTACACACCTGACAAGATGATATTTCCTCAGGATGATTCCCCTGAATTGACAATTCAGCCTGGAAGCTGCACCAAAGAATCCGATTCAGCTGGTTCTATTCGTCTGATGCTCTAAAGATGTGACCAAATCCATGGCTCCACTCAAACTTCATGGAACATCACAAAGTTGTCACTTACCTGTCCTTCACTATAATTAAAAGAAAGACATGTCAAAAGAAGGATTACTGTCTCATAAGTGGGATTTTGGCTGGTCCATAATCTAAGGACCTTACAACTTGTGATAACCATCTACAGAGCAGCGTGGCAGCTGATCATTCTAAAGGTGGAATAATGAGAAGTATTTAAGATGTGTTTTTAAAGGGGCTTTTTAAACAGAAAGTTTTATTTTTTATTTTATTTTGGTTTAGTGGAGGATTTTCCTTCTGTAGTCCTCTGGTGGGAAATATGCCTTCCACCAAAAGGATTTTAGTAGTTGATGTTTTAAGGTAAAGCATTTGTCTTTTTGGCATTTGTCTTACTGTCAATGAGCAAAACCAGGAGAAAGCACCTACCTCTGTAATGCCAGAGTATTCTTAGAGTGTTTTCGGAAGTGTTCCACTAATGTTTCCTCACCAGGTGTCTTTTAATCTGGCCTTTTGAAGAGGACAGAACTAAATGAGGTGTATATAGGATGCCAACAGAATGAAGTTGAAGGTAGGAACTTGATCTGTTCCAAAAGAGAGAGAGTCTCCTGAATCAGGATTCATGCAGCTTCATGACTGTAAAGCTGGGCTTGGTTGTTTTGTGGAATAGAGCCCTAATTGTGCATAATAAAAATTTCTTGTTTTTACACATTTCAATTTTATCAAGTCACTGTCAAATAGTAACAAAGCCATGATAGACTGGTATAATCATATTTAATAGAAGAATTAGTATGTGCTGGTCCAAATAAGTTGCCTTGTAAGAACACAAGTTGGAAGTGCTTTTCCTCGTCCGTACGTAGTGACTGCTTCAGAAGCTCTGCCTTCCAAAGATCTCGTAAAACCAGTATATCGAAACCGAATGTACACATACCTTGTAAATGTATTTAAAATTGTGTAGAAAACATCCTTAATGTTGCGTTGTTTGTGGTACTTACTTAAGAGAGACTAGGGTTGGATTAGCATTGTGTAAAGTACGGGAGATTGCAATGCACCTTCATGCCAATAAAATGTAATTTAACTGTCCCAAATATTGTTGAGCATTCAGCAAGAAAAAACTGTTGTCCAACTGAAGTTTCATGCTGCGATTTTTTTTTTTTTTGTTACATAGGTACTAATTTGTAATTTTTAATTAAAAGGGCAGTATATAGCTCTATAAATTTTTTATTGAGTAGTGTATCTTATAGATACAGACCTAAGGCACGAACACAATAGCTGTTTAAATGGTGTTTTATGTTTGATGGGGAAAGGTAAAATGTTATAAGGATATAATACTGTATACATTTTGTATATCATTAAATCTTTAAAGAATCTAAAATAAATTTATTCTTGTTTACAGACTTCTGCTGTCCATCTCAGTCTGAAAGGTTATTTTGGTGAATTTAAGTAACTCTTTATGTGGAAAAGTAGACTTTGCCATGCTGGATCAAAGCAGTTGTTCGCCTTTGAGGTACTGCAACTTTGGCCAACTCCAGAAACTAGGGAGGTAAAAGAGTGAAAGCTGTCACAGACAAACACATGTGAGGGGATTAATGAGCAAATAAGACAAAAATAACTCTACAATGTTTGGTTAGGAGCTGCTTCTTAGATATCTGACTGTATCTCCTCCTGTTACTGGGAGGGAATGGGCAGATATTCAAGGTGTATTTACACCTTTTTAATGCCAGGTAACAGCAACAGTTAGTCTGGATGTGTGACTGACTCTGCAAATTGAGAAAGATTCCTAGAGCAGCCTGTGTAATTTTGAAAATGCAACCAAATTCATTGTATGAAATAGGAAAAACATTTTGAGAAAATCGCAAGTAAAAGTTGGGAAAGCTTTTGTTTCCTGACAAACACAGTTTTTACAGCCATGTCACTGGTCTTCAGGAGTTTTGCATGTGACTAATTTCTTAGCAAAATAAACAGATGTGACTGTGTGATGGGTGTGAGTGACCGTGGGGAGTGTTCCGTCTGCTCAGTGTTGCAGTGACTCAGACCTGAAGCTTTTTCAAAATCAGAAGGAAAAAACATGGTCGGGAAATTCCTGTAAGCCTTGGAGTAGTTAACACTGTTCATATTTCTGTCCATCTCGCTGGCACGAGCACTGGCGTAACTCTGTTTGACTTACAGCTGGAATTACAATGAGAAGCGTTTGTCTAAATTGAGGGGGGGAGAAATGTGTAACTTTCAGAAGTGATCTGCTCCACACTAGCAGAAAAAAATAAGAAATGTCAAGTGTCCTTCAGGGAAGGCATTGGAAAAGTGTGGTGGCAAAGAAAAAAACAAGTTGGTCTGAAGAAGTAGCCTGACACTGTTTGGATAGTGCCACATCCTGCTGGTGTTGGGCAGTAGGAGCACGAAATTTAACTTGTTTGAGAACATCAAGTGTCACTTCTCTGTTGAAACCTTTAGCATTTTAATTTCCTTCAGATTACCAGAGAGAAGGAAAGTAGAAGCAGCACTGGAACTTCTGATAATATCCAAGAACAAAGTATTAGCGTATCTTCTTAGAACCTGGTTTTTAAATACAGGAATATAATTCACACCTTCTCTATTTTTTTAATGAAAATCTGAAATGCTTCAGTGACATTCCTATTACAAGGGTATTTAAAGAGTATTTCTCACACAGGGAAGTAAGTAAGCTACATACTTTAATTATTTAATCCACCCAATTCAGCATTGTTGACTGCTTTCTTGCATTATTTAGATGCTGAAACATTTCAGAGAAAACCAATCCCAAATATGTTGTGACAAAATACACAGCTCCTGAGGGAGCTGGTTTTCTAGCTGCTGCTCAGCAGCTGTGTGATTTGGAAAAGGAGAGGTTTGTTTTTTAAGCCTGTGACAGTGGTTTCCTACACTTTAATTTGTGTTTGCATCTCACTTAATGCCATAACACTTAACACTGCAGGACTTTGGAGAGGGGAAAAGACTAGACTACAACTGAAAACCTGGTAGTAGCAGTTCATATGGAATGTTCCTAAAAGATCAGTTGAAAAAAAAAATAGCATTTTTTTACACGTAACAATGCTTCTTAAAAAAATTCTGATAATTTAATATTTCTTTTTACAATTAACACTTTACCTTGCAAGTAATGCATTTTGTGGTGAAAGTAATGGTAAGTTAATTCTCAGCCCCAGAACTTGCAGTAGGTAGCACCTATGTGAATTTGTGTATCATGTTACATTAAAATAGTGAAAGTCTTGATTCAGATTCCACAAAAAGTAGGAATAAGCATATCCAGTTCCATTTACAAAAATGTAGACCAGATTTTCAGTAGTTTTGTGTGGAGGTGTTGCTTTTGTATCTCAGTTTGCAGGTAACCAGTTGGGGGGATTAACAGCAGTGACAGCTGTCCCAAGAGTGCTGGGAGACATCCTTTGCTTGAAGTTTAACAAGTAAAATAATTAGGGATTTTTAAAAATGGTTTCCTGGGCCTCTTCTGAGAATACTTGTTACTTCCCTAATTGTATGTTAAATAGGGAAAAGCTGCTGCTCTTCTGTGTATGGCATTCAGACATTAACTACACTGTCTTATTAGCTAAATAAAAGCCACTTCTCTGCCACTACCCTTTTTTTTACTTTTCCCCAGGAAAATCTTCATAACACAAATAGACTAATTAAGTGTGATGTTTTGAGGTAGTTGAATGTTTTTATGGTCAACACTATCATCACTGCCCTTCCACCAGAGCATATGAGCAGACATGGATAAACGTGGGTCAGGCTGAAGCTCCCTGCTCAGTGCAAGGGGTGGGTGCTCCTCTCTTCCCAAGGTTTTCTGTTCTGGGTGGCACATAGGGAGGAGATAGAGGCAGGTTGGGCCAGGCACATTCCCCTGCCTGAGGACCAACGTAACCAAGTGACATCACAAAGGGAATGGGGCAGGAATAGCTCGGGTGACAGGATGGAACACAGGACACAACACCCGAGGCATTGCTTGGCTTGTTCTACAGAGATTGCTGTGGTTTCTAAGTTCTCTGCCCTGCCTCAAAATAGAGTATCAGCCTCTAAAAATTCAAGAACAGCAACATTGGTGAGCACCTCTGGGTGGTGTAGTGTTTGTGTTCAGCTTCTCTATTGCCTGATTGGGGATGGGGGACAGTTTCATCCAGGACAGACTCATGCAGCAAGAAAAAAACCTACTAGAATTTTCTTAACATAAGTAACATAGCAAAAATCTAAGGAACAACCTGTTATTAGTAGCATCTGGACTGCAACCTATGGTTTTAGAAAATATATTAAGTACCACACCTCAGAAGAAATGAAATATAATATGCATTCTTTAGGGTGAAATGCTTAAGGCAGCTATTTTGAGTAATTGAATATGAAGTCCAAGACTGAATGGAATTTTAGGAATAGCTCTAAAACCTCAGGTATTTAAATAATACCTCTTAATGATGTATCTCACCATCTTGGGAAGAGCCTAGTGTGGCAGATGGAGAGTCTTCACCACTGTATTAGCCCAATGAAAGTAAATGTGTATGTAGTTTATAAAGATCCTGAAATAGCAGGAAATGCCTCCTGAAGAGGCATTTTAAAGAGCATAACACAAAAAACACTGTAGCATTTTAGATTTCCACTGCTGTGGGGTTTTTTTTTCCTAGTAGGTGGAAGGATGGCTTGGAAATGGAAGTATTCCCACAAGGAAGAGATGGAGGACACGAGCAGCCGTCACCCAGGGCTCACTGGCCTGCAGAACCTGGAGAACACGTGCTACATGAACGCGGTTTTGCAGTGCCTGTGCAGCCTGCCCCAGCTGGTGGAGTATTTCCTCTCAGGGAGGTGGAACACAGCCCTGCGCACGTGAGTTGGTTTGTTTCTTGCCTTGGCACTGCTGTTTTCCTCCCAAAGGATCCATGTTGCCATGAGAATGTGTGAGGCTCCAGCTACCAGCAGTTATAGTCAAATACCACAAGCTGGTTTCCTTGTCCTTTGAGACCCTGGGTTGTTTCCTCACTGGGTACCTTCAGCATTACACTTCTTTTGTCATTTTGATGGTAATACCTGTTACAGTCACTGCTGCCTTGACCATGATCCCTACTACTTCCTGGGATCTGCAGAGTCCCTCAAACCCGATGACAGGCTGTCAGAGCTGTGCTGTACCTGCACGTGTTTTCCAAGTTTCTATAGTGTGCTCCTGTTTGAAGGCAGAGACACTGTTTTTTCATACTCTACCTGAAACTTAAGTGTATTTTTTCCAAGGGAGATTGGAGAGTCTGCAACTGCCTTTGGCTGTTTGATGTCCGATATGTGGCTTGGAGACTTTGACTATGTTTCCCCTGAGGCTTTTCATTCAGTCTTTGGGAAGCAATACCCAACATTTAGCAGGAGGACTCAGCATGATGCGCAGGAGTTTCTGATCTGTGTGCTCGATGAGCTCCACGAGGCTTTCAAGGAGGTGAGTCCAGCTGTGGTGTTTTGGAGACTGTAGCAATTCCCTCTGCATGTCATGATTTAGCATTCCATGTAATAATTGTCTGTCCTCCCTTCTGAACTCCATGATGGGGCCACTAATAATTGCTCTTTTCTACCTTTGTTTCAGACCTATTTACACACAATTATTAATTTGCTTCTCTTCTAATGCTGCATCAAATTGCATCCCCAATTTAAATGACAATGCTGTCTGTAGCTTCATTGTCCTAACCTCCCTCTCTCCTTGCTCCTTCCACGCTCAATGTTCTACTTTCTCATCTGCTTGAGATCTTCACATATCCATGCCCTCACATCTTCCTCCTCTTCAGATTCACTGATAAAGAGCTTTTTAAGCAGTTAAATCCTGTCAAATGTCCAGATTATTATATTTTTGTTAAATTTCTCTGTGAAGAAAGGAATTAAGCTTACTCTGCTTGTATGAAACATCAAGAAGATTTTAGAGCCAAGTTCTATGACAAGACTAACAACTGACCTACCCAGGCAGTGGCAGCAACCATTAAAACCCAGTGAAGGCAACAGTTGCTTATCTGCATTTTAATTTTTTTTTCTTCTGTATAGTCAAGCCGACACAGAGCTGGTGCAGAAGCAAGAGGGAGTGGCAGTGGCACATCCATTATAACACAGTTATTTGAGGGACAGCTCAGTTATGGTATCACATGTCTGAAATGCAACACCATCACTGACAGACCTGAGAGCTTCACTGTCCTTTCCCTGCCCATCCCTTCTAGGAGAGTGTGCTCTCTGCAGGTACAACTGCCAATGCATTCCTGCTGGGTTCTGCTTCATATGGGAAGAGGTGGCTTAGACTAGTGAATGTTATTGAAAAGATGCAGGGTTTTAGTTACTTTGGGTTTCCTGGGAGCTAATGGATAGTCTTGGATCTGGTCCTTAGAGAAGTGCTGTTTCTTCACTGGTCTCAGGACTACAGAGGCTGGTAGGGTTACAAGAGCAATGTTTGTGAGTTGCAGGGGATGAGGGACATCAGGATTGTTAAATAGCAACCATGAGGGTTTCTTTCACTCAAGTATTTCCTCACTTGGGGAAGAAAGGAAGCCAATGTTGGTTGCTTTGTCTTTTAAGTGTATTTGTAATGACAGCCTTGCTGCATCACACCTCCAATTAAGAAGAGAGCTCTGAAGTATGGCAAATTCATCTCTTACTTTGCTTAGGATCTTCAGGGGTGGAGGGAGATCAGTTTGATCAAGTGGTTTTGATTTTATTTTTTTCCTTTGACAGGAGTGTCTTGACTGCTTCTTTCAGCCAGACACACTGACTCGGAACAACCAAATCCACTGCTACTGGTGTGGAACAAACCAAGATGCCACAGTAAAGGCCACCATAACCAGGGCACCGCAGATCATTATTTTTCACCTAAAGAGGTACAGTCTAAAATGGGGTAGGACATGGCCAGTTCCTGGGATTTGTGAGATGTGAAAGACAGTCACTTGCATTTGCACAGAAGGAAAAAAATCACTGCACACCAGTGTTTTTAGTACTTTTGATACCTGAAAGCTAAATGGGCAGTAACAGAAATACAATTAGTGCAGCAGCTCACAGTCAGACATCCCTGGGAATCAGAGTTCCTGTGGTCAGTGGGAGAGCTTGTAATTTGGGTTCTAAGTGCAGGACTGACACAGAGTGTTTTTCTTGTCATTACTGCAGCTGAGACACTGCTTTGGTTTTATCCCTTAAGTAAATCAGGCCTAAACACCTGAGGATACTAAACAGAGAGGTGCATCAGTGTAAGAGCTCCTGGATTAGCAGACCTCACTAGCTACATGTGGCCAGATGCTGAATTTACTCTTAAGGATTTTTTTCTGAACAACTTTCCACCTATAGAGAAAACTACTCTGGGATGATTTGGCTTCCCAGAACTATGTTATCTGAAGTCATGATTTAATTTTCCATTCAACATCTGCTTTTCTCAATGTGCTCAAAGAACTTGTGGTCCCCAGCTGCAGCCCTTGGCCACATTTGTAAATGTTTAAAAGTGCAGTTTGTACTGAAAGTTACAGAGGGAAGAGGGATGGAGCCTGGCATGAGAGAAGAGCTGACAACGGCAGTGCAGTCCAGTTCAAAGTGTTTAGGACACAGTGAGAGCAATGCTGGACATCTCTTGTGGGTTTAGTGCACTTTCTGTCAGTATACTGTAAAACCCAAGTTTAATAGAGATCTTTCTCTTTCAAACGCTGTGTTGTCAGTTGCTGGTTTTCCCTTCCCCTAGGAAAGTCAGTTAAGCAACCACTACAATGCAAAAGTAAGTCGAGGGTTATTTAAAATCATTCAAAATTTCATTTCAGGTTTGCCTGGCAGGACAAGCACAGAAGGAAACTCTCAACCACTGTCGACTATCCATTACAGAATCTGGATCTCTCTCCCTACAGCTCCACGTTTTCCTACAATGAAGTGTACAGCTTATGTGCTGTAGTGGTAAGCTTTGCCTTTCCTGCTTTTAGTTGGAATGCTCTCTCTCATGGAACAGATGATGCATGTGTTAGTTTGGACTTTATGTATACTGATTTATATTTTAATGTATGGCTTTTTGTATACTTTTTTTTTTACCTGCCATGGACATAATCCAATAACAGTATGTAAACCAAGACGAGAGAAATTGTCATTTGTCCTTCTTCCCCAACATCCCCAATTTAAAAGCATGCACTCTTGACACATAATGCCTGGTTGGAGCCTCCTCAAAATAAACTCACAGGCTGGTCCTGCATGAATCCTGTTTATAAATAAGGACTAGATGGTCTCTTTTTTTCCACTGCTCACAGCAAGTGGGGCCCTTTTATAAAAGTGACCAAAATCAGGGCTAATAGTTGGGTTGCAAATGTAAAATTGCAAAATAGAGAAGCATAATGATAATCCATTTGCTCTGTTTTAAAGCATTTACTTGAATTAACATTCCTTGCTTGTAGGCCAGTGGGGGCTAGAACCCTCTCTCCCACCTTTTCCAAGTGCAAACAAAAAAAATGATGGGCAATTCTTCGGTTTGCCTGTGAGGAGACAGACCGAGACTGGTTTGAACAGACTGTGTTGTTTGTTACAGAACCATGCTGGTGATATAGATTATGGCCACTACACAGCATTCTGCAAGCACTCAACCACCAAACACTGGTACAGCTTTGATGATGTCCAGGTCACCAAGATCTCAGATTCTGCAGTGCAGACTGACACAGCTTACCTCCTCTTCTACACCTGTCAAGGCTATTGAGAATCTGCTGACCCTTGAAGACCAACAGGGAGTAGGGCAGCAACTAGAATTCATCAGCAGCATTAGCCAACTCCTATTTCATCAATAAACTAGAGCATTTGCATTACTGATTATCTGTTGTGGTCTTTCAAGAAGTAATTCCTAGAGAGAACAGTTACAGCCCCTGAGCCTGCACAGGAACGTGAGTCTCCTCCATTTGGACAAGGTCTGATGGTTGTTTTCCATGACAACCCTCTTGCAGCCCTCAAAAGAACACAAATGTTGAGCATACAGATGGACTTACCTGAAAATTCCTGGTTTTCTGCTGGTTAAGAATAATATGTTGTTTTAAGCTGCCTTTCAGGAACTGACAGTAGGATGCCGAGGCGAAAGCACAGAACCAGAGCATGGAGGGTGTGTGTTTCAGAAGAAAGCAGAGGATGAAGTGACCAGTAATATATAAGAAAGAAAAAGACATTATTCTAGTAATGTCATTTTTGTTCCTCTAGCACTGCAAACTTTTTTGCAGCTTGTAGGCTTCTGGAAAACAATCAATTCTGGTCTTAATTCCATCAGCAGGACACACACAAACAGGTAAAAGCTCAAAATGCATGATGCCAGGTTTCTGAATGCCAACCTAATCAGCAAGGGAAAATTAACCCAAATCCACAGCAGAGAAACACATAAAATACAACTCAAGTAAGTTTCTAAACTAATCAGTTCTATGCAAAATAGTACTTTTTTTCACCTGGAGAACCTTTAAACTGTGTGACTATGACTCAGACTATCATTAAATAGAATCCTGACTATTACACTACAAGCTGGTAATGAAAACACCAAACTCAAACATACATTTAACAGGATATATTTTTAAATCATTTCTTCATTAAGGTTTTTAATGCATGTGTACATGAAAATTTATATTAAAAAATTAAAAAGGAAAATCTTGTTTGTTTAGAATAACTCTGAAGTGCACAAATATTGACAAAAGCTAACAGAAAAAAAATAATACAGCTCTGCTTTTTTATTAAGTAGTGTTGCAATTACTTAGAGCTGGCAAATAAACGCAATCCTCTGAGTTTTAGAGATTCTCACAAAAAGGACAACATTTTATTATATACATAGTTCTGATGTGCAAGTATGCAATCAATATGTACACTTACATTCCTAACTGTTTACATCGTTCTAGAGTATTCACAGTAGAATCAAGCTTAAGGTTAGAAATGTGAAAAGGCCATTAACAGTGAAAGAAAAAAATAAACCAAGATATGCCTTGGGATTTTAAGACATTTTAAACTACTTGTTAATAGATTTCAGATGACTAAGCTAGAATTTAATTTTGGAGCAGACTAAAAATATAGTTGTTTTTTAAATAAACAGTAATGCGAGTATGCCTGTAAATGGTTCCACAGATGGCAGTATTACCACAAGCGTTACTCATCAGTCTTCTGATTGTTAAGCACTACTACGGACCAGAGCGAGCCTGCTTGCAGAGACACTACTGCAGCCATCCCCACACCTGGGAGCGACTATGTCTGTCAGAGTTTTGCATATTTATATGCATTCCCATGCCTACTTTGCTCCTATAGAAAGAAAACCAGTTTCCTTAACCCGCGACTACTTTACGTGGCCATATCCACTGCTCGCTGTTCATAGGAAGTATAAAAGAGAATATAAGCAGCTGAGGACTTCACCGACGACGCTGAGATCTCAGAGACTTCATGGTCATCAAACTTAAACCAGCGCTGTTTTGAAGCATTTTTGCAGTAGGCTGTGTAGTGCCCCCCATCCAGCCCACCATAATGATTCTGTGAAGGTAAGAAAAGAATTAGTGGCCTCAAAAGCTGCCATTTCTTCCCTGGTAAGGGAAATAATCTAGAACATGAGATTTTTTACTAACTACCAATCAATCTTTTTAGAACACAGCTTAATCTGCAACTGGATAGGCAGCCTGGAAACCTGGATGAATCACACAGGCTGTGTGACCCTGAGTCATTGCATAAAGTCCAGCTCAGTTTCGAAATGTGCCACGGTTACTTACCGACACTGAGAACAGATTGTATCTCTTCAAGGTATTCTTTGGACCAATAACATACTGTGAAAGGTCAAGTGTTTCCAATGGAAAATCTACAGAAGTTTGAAGCTTTTGTTTCCATCTTCCATCGTAGGAAAATCTAGAGAATTAAAAAGCATCATTAAAAGTTACAAGTTATTCACAAGGTACTTAAGAATATTAAGCATGTTTGTTTTCCCTTATTTAACCAGGATGTGATCTCAATTAAAGCCCCCAGTTTTGTTAATGTGTTAACAAACACGTTAATAGGTGTTTCTTAGCAAAAAATGAAAAGAGGTCACTTGTAAAAGTGCTTTGTGAACTACAGCTTTATAAAACAAGCATCAGATTAAAATAAAATTCTTGCAGCATTACAACTGGAAATACATCCATAATTTTCTGTAATTAAAAGTAGTCAGCTACTGTCCTAGAACAATCACTCTCCATCAAAGCCTGATCACCCTAATTTTCATCCATCACCATTTCCTTACCGTTTCAAGTGCACAAGGAGAACAGGTGGTAATTTCCAAATTTCTATTTTTTTCAAAGAATCCCTTCGAGTTTTGCAATGGCTACAGTAAAACCTATTATTATCAGTAAGCTTTTCCTCTTTGGAGAACAATCTAAGGCATTCCTAAAACAAAACACAAATGCAGATTGTGAATGGCAGGTGCTTAGGAAAGCGTAGCAAAAACGTTTGTTTCCTATTTGGTTGTTAACCTGCATCAATTATCTGCATCCTAAATTTCATAAGAATGAGGAAAAGTGAGTTAAATTTCAGTGTAGAAGCAAATGTTACTATATTAATTAGTATATTTTAATTTACATATATATTTAATTTATATATAAAATTTATATATATTTAATTTTAATATATTAATTAGCTGCAAGTCCTTCAAAATATATTGACAGTGTTTTGTTTAAAACCACAAAATACTTACACTATGACCTACAAAAGCAAATCCTATATGTCTTCTCTGCTACTACAGCTTCAATATTTCTATCCTGCTTGTATTTTAAAACTTCTAATGGATGACCTATTTTTTTAAACTTAAAAGGAATTAAAAATTGTGAAGATTCAGATCTGTTCATGTTTTCCATTAGTGTAAATTAGATGGGAATTTTGACCAACCCCTTCAACAAGAGGATGAGCAGAATCAACATCATAATGAAGTCCCAGAGAAGTGTTTCTGCCTCAGGAGCTGTTCCTCTCTGGTTGCACCGTACCTGCAGAGTGCATTTACTGGAGGACGCGAGCGGTAACGACAAATACATGAAAGCCTCAAAGGTTCGGGACTTCTTGTGACACGTGAGACACTGCACCGTGGACTTGAACTGGCCTTGGAAGAGTGCCACAATAATGGATTCATTGAGCTGTTTGTGCTTGTGCCAGGCCAGTTCTGCTGCTCTGAAGTCATCAAGGTGATCGTTGTTTTCTTCCTTGTATCTTTTCCTGTTGTCAGCCTGGATAACAGAAGTTTAAATACCACATAAATCAGAAGTCTCATCTATAGGCAAGCATACTATTAAATATTTTCAAGTATATTTAAACATCTCAGTGTAGCCATCCAGTTCTTATCTAGTTAGGTTTCTTCCATGGCTCCCTTCAGTACATTATACTGTTTCATACTAAATTCCTAATTAAATTCTGAATACTTGCATTTCTTTCTATTCAAAGTTGCAGTAACATAACCTTCTTATAAAATAAGAAGGTGTTTTTAAAATTTATTTCTCTTGATCATCTGACAGATATATAATTTGTTACAAGTGTATTGCTTACTTTATTTAGGTCTTCATGCAAGCCATCCATTAGAAAGAGAAGCAATTCTTGGGAGTCCTGTTGGCTATATCCTGCAAATTGGTCATTAATCTTTCCAATTGTAATTTTGAAGTCTTTTGGACTGATATATTTATACTGTCCTGTCCATAAAGCTTTCATTATTACACCAAACTCTTCTGCCACTTCACCTTTATGCCCCAGGAAATTTGACCTATAAAATAAAGACAAAAAAAAAATTGTGAGCCCTTCCAATAACTGTTTTTTAGTATTACTGTTTTTAATTCAAGACATTATCCCAATTTCAAAATAATTTATTTAGACCAAGAAAAACTGTCTGTTAGATTGAGCTAAAATTTTTGTCTACATTAGCATTGTAATTTGATTCCATATTCAAGACAGAAGGTACAGCTGTTTTCAGCTTGTTTTGTAAACTGCTATTTAAATACAGAGACTGGTTTTAGGAGGCACTAGTACGCTTGTATTTATGAATGTGATGACCACAGTTTAATTACAACTGTCCAGTAAAACCTATTTGGTGACACACATGAATTTTGAAAATGTTGAGGCTCCTAAAAGGTACCATTTCTCTTCTACTTAAAAAAAAAAACAACCCCACTAAGTGATCTTTTTGAATTGGCAAATATAAAGGCAGATAAGAGATTGTTACCTGTTAATATCATCCTGATACAAGTTTCTGTTAAAATAGTCAGCCAGGTGAGGTGCATTGCACAGACACTGTAATATGGAATTCATATAGCAAGTGTTCCCAAGGTTACGGAGTCCTGTGAGAGCTGGTCCCGATCCCCCAAACACAGGATTAAGATTCCGAATCTGTGATGCAGAGAGTCTTGAAATTTCTGCTTTGGTGTAACAGATGGGTCTGTAAGGAAGAAATTGTTTTTTAGGAGTCTCAGACTCGACAAGGCTGTACACATAAACCAAGACACCCCCTCTCCTCACCCCCCACCCCCAGGGACTGAACTATCCTTGCACAAGATGTCACCAAATGCAATCATTTAAAGTATTCAAAACCAATCAATGCAAGTGAGATCCATATTCACTGGCCTATAATGAGGCTGAGTTTTAGGCTTCATCAGTTGTGGAATTTATGGGGGTTCTTTTGCTTTATTTATTTAATTCGGAGATGAAAAGTTAGCTGTTGATTTAATCTAGTTTAAAGTCTCAATACTTTGCATTTCACAAGCTGTGAGAAGACAAGCATTTAGCATGTTAACACAAATACCACAACTTAAAAAGCAACTGTTGTCCAATTACATGGACTGTGACCTCT